CAGTGCTCTTAACCACTGAGCCATCTCTCCAGCCCCCGGTTTGTAACATTTCTATTGGGAAACACAAGAGCAAATCAAATCTGCTTGAGCAAAATTGGGAATAACAGTTCTCCTAATTGAAAAGTCTCTAGCTAGGCTGGGCATGGTGCGTATGCTTATAGTCCTGGCACTTGAGAGGCTGAAGGCAGAGGTCATGAGAGACAGGGTAAGAAGGAGGAGGAAGAAAGAAAGGGGAAGAAGGAGAGAAGAGATCAAGGACAGTGGGAGGGGGAAGAGGGGGGAGAATCTGTAGAGACACCCTGGCCAGTACTGGCTTCTTGCATTGCTGGATTCAAAGCTCAAGCATATCATGGAGACCTGTGAGTTTCGCCCCTTCTGGGCCTGCCTAAGCTGGGCTGATTTCAACTCCAGCTCCACATGGCAGCTCCTGGCAGCTCTGTGCGGGTCTCACAGGAGGGAGTCTCTCTCCTCCTCAACATTCCAACTAAACCTTGGATCAGCATCCCTGCAAGGGTCACACTGTTACCTCTCTGGGCCTAATTAGTGTCAGCCAAGGGCAGCTGCTGCACTCCTGGAATGGAATGCCCACCAGCAGCTCACAGACCAAGAATGGAAGAACGGCAGGTATTGTCACACTGAAGTTGGATAAAGGGATCTAGCCGTATATCTAACTAATTACAGGGTTACGATCAAGTTTTCAGTTGCAAAACACCGCTTTCCTAGTCTGTCTGCTCACACAGCCACCAAGTTTCTCTGTTGCTCACCCTAACTAAATCCCAATGGCCTTACCTGGTGTCTTTAACCTTCCCAAAGCTGATGGGACCCCGTCTTTCATGTGCCCCTGCCCTTAGGCAGCCCCAACCCTGAGCTTTTTTTTTTTTTTTTTATTCCACTTCAGTTCCAAACCCACACTCACTGAGGGGACTTTGCAGGTTTCCTGGGTCACCCTCTGCCCTCCATGCTGTGTTCAGCCTTTACCGATACTCAATATTTTCTCACTTCTTGAATTTTTACAACTTGTCATTTTTATCAAAGAAATTAGCCTTAAAGATGATTGTTTATAAGCTCACATTGTCCTCTAGCTTCTGTTCCTCATAGATACCTCACAAGAAGATTGCCAAGTACCTCAAGGTAAGGGTGGGATTTTTCTCCTACAAACATGTACATTAGACAGTGAGAAGGCCCACAGGGAATTTGACAGCAGGGCTTATTTTTATTTCAGTTCTATCATGTTCAACCTCTGTCTTCCAAAGAGCCGGAGTATATCTGACAGCGGAGCTGGTGGTCATGCAGCTAAAATGAAGTGGCACCCCAGGAACTCAGACTGGCCAAACAGAAACCTCTACCAGGCTTTTTCTTTGGGGCCACCAACCAGCTCCCAAATCATGACACAGAGACTTGTTATTAGTTGTGAATGCTCAGCCTTAGAATGGGGGGTAAACACAGTTCAGGAACAGTATCCAAGCAACAAATACCCGGAAGGACCTCAACAGAGTGAGCTGCATGGTGGGCTTTGTCTGAAAACAAACACCTTGATTTTCAATCCTGGGGAGTTGGAAATGGGAGAATCCCTAGGGCTTGAAGGCCAGCCAGCCTAGCTGAATCAAAGAGCTCAGTGAAAGACTACTTCAAAAACTAAGGTGGAGCACAATTGAAAAAGACACTCAACATTGATCCCTGGCCTCTACACCCACCCACATACATTTGCACATTCACGATATAAACACACATGAATATGTATGGGGGAGGAGGGGAAGGGAAGGAAAGAAGAGGGGGGCGGGTTAAGCTGGTGTGCTTTTTGCTGCCTGTAATCTCTGCACTGGGAAGGCTGAAGGAGGACTCCTATCATGCTGAGACCAGCCTAGGCTACACACTAAGTTCCTGGCAAGTCTTGGCTACAAAGCAAGACCCTTTCTCAAAAAAAAAAAAAAGCAAAAAAAGGGCTGGAGGATGGCTCAGCAGTTAGAGTACTTGCTGTTCTCCCTGAGAGTCAGAGTTTGCTTCCCAATACCCCCAAGAGGCAGTTCACAACTGCAGCTACCTCCAGCTCCAGTGATCTGATGCCCTCTTCTGGCCTCTATGGACACTGCTGGAACTGAACTCTAGTCCTCCACAAGAGCAGTTTGAGCTCTTACATGAACCCTCTCTCTAGACCCCTTGACTTTTCTTTATTGGGGGCATAGTGGCACACGCCTTTAATCCCAGCACTTGGGAGGCAAAGGCAAGATCTCTGTAAATTCAAGGCCAGCCTGGTCTACATAATGTGTTACAGGACAGTCAGACTGTTGATCTCCTTCCCAATTAGACCCTCCTGTGTGTGTGTGTGTGTGTGTGTGTGTGTGTGTGTGTGTGTGTGTGTGTGTGTGTGTGTGTGTTTCATTAGGGTTGCTTAGAAAAGAATACTGGTTAGTTTTTGTCAACTTGACGCACACTAGTTATCTGGGAAGGGGGAACCTCAGTTGAGGAAATTTCTTATCAGATTGGCCTGTGGGTACATCTGTGGGACATTTTCTTGATCGGTGTCTGATGTGAGAGGGCCCAAGGTCACTGTAGGTGGTGCCATGCCTGGCAATTGGTCCTGAGTTGTATAATATGGCATCCCACACACCTCAGGAACCCTGACTAGGGGCATGGAGGGAATGAAGAAAGGGTAGACCCACCCACATTCAGGAAAGGTGGGGTCAGGTGGGCTGTTCTCTGGTGGGGCTGCACCTACCCCCAGGAACCTCAGCGCATTTATTATGTACAGCACAGGGGAAGGGGTTGGCCAGTCTTGTAGGAGCTCTCTATAGGAGAGCAGTCTCAGTAAAGACCCGAAAGAAGGAACTAGCTGCAGTTGCTAGTTTCTTGTACACATTGGTCAATCACTTGTTCTCAGACCCTGGAAGAGTAAGCCTCAGGCTTTGCCACTCCCATGCAGCTGAGGCACCGGGGTTCTTGACATGGTTGTGCCCACATCAACTTAAGACTTCACTTACTCAGGTCTCCCCCTGCTCCCTACAACATACAAAATGTAGTTTTGCAAGTCAGTGATCAAGTTTCCACGAAGGCGCCTGATTCTGTTGAGTTCCTGCCCTGATTTTCCTCAAGGATAGACTGACTGTAAGCCAATAAACTCCTCCCCAACTTGCTTTTGGCTATGGTGTTCACCACAGCAACAGGACGCAAACTAGTACAGGAATGTCATTCACAGGGGCGTGGGCACCTTGTGTCTCCCCCTGCCGACTACTATGAATTGCCTCTAAATCCTCAGGGAGAGGTGGAACTCTGTGACTCCTCTCCACTATGGGACATTGACAAGCCCAGCAGATAATCGCAACTACTTGAATTCAAGAGCACCATGGCAGGCGGGCAGTGGTGGCACATACCTTTAATCCCTGCACTTGGGAGGCAGAGGCAGGCAGATCTCTGGGAGTTCGAGGCTAGCACAGGCTACAGAGTGAGTTCCAGAACAGGCTCCAAAAATAGAAAAACCCTATCTCAAAAAACAAAAACACCTAGGAAGTTGCTTCCAGAATGCAACTGTACACACAAGCTGCTAAAGCTGTGGTCCAAAGGTCCATCCCAAGCTGGCAGCTAAACTTGGCAGTGGCATGCACATGGTAGTGGTTTGGGAGACAACGCTAAAGATTGAGGGGTTTGTGCTTCTCCCTCCATGTTTTTAGAGCTGTTAAGACCAGACACCGTGAGGCAGAGAAGGGTCTCTTCAAGGAGACCTTGAGCAAAGCTGAAGGCTAGAATGCAACTCATTGATGTTAGATATAACTGGACCCTGAGACATCTTCTGAAAACTGCATACAGGGAGTGGAGCCAGCTCAAGAAAGAAATTGTTATGGACAGAACACTAAGAAATTGTTAAGGGCAGAGCTGAGCTAAGCCCCTTTGAAAGTCAAACTTCAGCTGCAGAACATAGAGCTACAGGACTTGGGAGTCTGCCCTGCTGGCTTTGGGTCTTCCTTTGGTCCAATCTTCCTCACTCCGACACCACTCCTCCCTTTTGGATAGGAATGCACATTGTGTCATTGTATGTTGAAAGTATGTAAATTCTACAAGTCAATTAGATTGCCTTGAGACCCAAGAGATTTTAAACTTTTTAAGTGTTCAGCCTGTTAGGATTATAGACTTCTGAAGTTGGACTAAATGCATTTTGCAACATGAGATAGCCATGAGACTATTGGGGTACAGGGGCAGATTGTAGTTTGAATGAGAAATGTTCCCATAGGCTCATGTATTTGAACATTTGGTCCTAACAGAAAAGTAACTACTACAGTCATTATAGTCTAGTTCCATACAAAATACTTTAAATCTATTTAATCTATTTAATTAAATCTATTTAATCTATTCCCTTCCCTAGTCCACCAAAAGCACTAAGGTTTCCCTATTTTCTTAAGGAGTACTTCAACAAACTATATCCCTAGTCATGAGCTCATTACTGAAGATGAGTGCTTTGATGGTATTCAAAGCCCTCTAAGAAGTCCCCAGTGCATAAATAATCTCAGTATGCAAACTGCTACAAACTGAACTAGCCTACAGGGAGACCCTGCCTCAAGGGGAGAAAAAAAAAGATTGAAATAAAACCAGGCATGGTGACACATACCTATAATTTACCGAACAGGAGGCTGGAAGATCAAGAGTTCAAGGTCAGCCTCAGCTACCTTTTAGCCAACCTGTATTATGAAACCCAGTCTCAAAAACAAAAACTGAAGACCTATGGTAATGCTCTTTCAAAGGTGTGAGGCCAAGTTTAATCTCCAATACCACATAACAACAGAAAGAAAATGACGGTTACCAAGGACAAAACTTTGAGAAAGGGTCTCAAGTATCTCAGGCTGGCCTTAAATTCACTAGGTAGCCAGTAATGACCTCGAACTTCTGACCCTCCTGCCTCAATTCTTAAGTGATGAGATTGTAGGTCTGCACCTTCCCAAGCAGTTTATGTGATTCTGGGATTCAAACCTAGAGCTTTATGGACGCCAGGTACTTACAAACTGAGACATATCTCCAGCAGATTTCTCTTTAATCAATCACAAAGGACTTTAGAATCTGTACCAATATTTAAGTAGAATGGGTTAAGAGAGCAATTTGCCAGCTCTGGCAAGAGAACCCATACAGTGGAAGGGCAGCATCGACTCCTACAGGCTGTCCTTGGACCCCCCCTGTCCACACACAAGCCACAGTATACACCTGCACCTGCCCCCACACAAACTGGCACACAACATGGAACCTTTATTTCGGTGATTTCTGTACATGAGGAGTACGGAGCAATCCTTTACAAATGGAGGTGATTTTACCGAATAAATGACAAAACCAAAGCAGTGTCTGACACACACGGATTCATGGGGCTTTATGGTTCAAACCCAGCCAAGAAGTTTGTTACGATCTCTTTCAGCTTTGCATCTGATTGTTCTGAGATTTTCCCATCGGCCCTGTTTGGAAATAAAACAAGATTCAATGACTAATGCAAATGACCTGGGCAAGGACTCGATGACAAGGCTAACCTAGAGAGCTGAAAGGTAACTGTTAGGTGCACACTTGAGATCCCAGCACTTGTAAGACTGTCAAATGCTGAGAACCACCCAGGTACAATGTGAGCACCAAGGCCAGGTAGGGCTAGTACACAGCAAGACCCGATCCCAGCCCCCAACCCCCAGGGAAGGAAAGACTGTATAAAAACTGCACCAGTCACAACAGAGGCCACTAACTCCACTCATACCTGATATTGCCCAAGAGGGTCTGGTGCTGGCTGATAACATGAGACAAGAAAGCATTCTCAAACTTGGTGATCTTACTGGGCTCCAGCTTATCCAGATAGCCCCTCACGCCTGCATAGATAACAGCCACCTGTTCTTCAATAGCCATGGGAGCTGAAAACAGACACATTATCCAATGAATTACTCTAATGCCGTTTTACCAAAGTCACAGTCCCATGGCCCACCCACTCTGACGTTCTGTACCTGTAACTCCACTTATTCCTCTTTCCCACCCTCCTCTGCAAAACCCAGGAGTATAACCTTTGGGTATAACCTTTATAAGCATTGCTTATAACCTGATAGTGTTTACACAGTATTTGTGGTATAATTTGCTGGGCTTTTTAGGCAAGATAAAAACACACTACTATTCTTCTAAATCCACTAAACTCCATATTCATACAACATGAAGATGTATTCAATATATTTGATTTTCCTGGTTACTAATCTCGTAACACTACATTTGAATGGTGATAAGGACTACATCAGTGAAATAAAACAGATGGCTTTTCTTTGTCAGAAGATTTTGTGGTACAACACAGCCCTGTAGACCAGGCAAGACCCTAAATTACAATAGGAACCTGACCAAATGAAAAGAACTCACAGTACTGTCCTTGCTTTAACAACTCGGTCAGACGCACACCACGACTCAAGAGCTGTTGAGTGGCAGCATCAAGATCAGAACCAAACTGGGCAAAGGCAGCGACCTCCCGATACTGAGCCAACTCCAGCTTCATGGTCCCGGCCACCTGAGCAGACAAGGTGACGTTAACATGACTCAGTGTCACACACAACAGTATACAAATAGTTAATACACTTTTTAAGATTTTAGCCTAGTAACACACTCCTCCCCAACAAAGTGAGGTAAAATCACCTGCTTCATGGCCCTGGTCTGGGCAGCAGATCCGACACGGGACACAGACAAACCCACGTTAATGGCAGGGCGGATGCCTTTATAGAACAACTCTGTTTCCAAGAAGATCTGCAATTCAGGAATACAGACATTAATAAGCTTTAATTTTTTTTTTCCCAAATTTAAGCCACTGTGCCAAAAGCTGAAACCCAAAGTCTGAGTAAGATTGCTAAGTGACCTTTCTACGTACCCACTGTTGAGAAAGGTGATATGGGGATTGGGGGGAATGAGAAGATACTTATGTTGAAAAGGTAGATGCAGGTTGCACGTGCCTGTAATCCTGGCACTGAGGGGCAGAGGCAGAGGATCACTGCAAATTCAAAGCCAGCCTGGGCTACATGCAATTCTAGGCCAGTCCAGACTACATAATGGCCCAGTCTCAAAAACTAAAACAAGGGCAGTAACGGAAATTCTCAAACACACGTTAAAATTTTCTAGGGTTAGAAAATAATGAACCAAAACATGCCCAGTCAGGTGCGGTGGCCTATGCTTTCAACCCTAACACTAGGACTGTAGGTCAGTCATTCTCAGCTATACAGACAGCTGGGACCACCCGGGCACCCACGAAGTGGGTTTACGGATGGTTATGTGCAGTCAAAGGGATGCTGGGATTCAATCCTCTGCAAAAGCAGCAAGTGCTCTTAACCACTGAGGCATCTCTTCAGTCCCTAGTCTCCTTAGTTTTGTTTACAATATTCCATAAAAAAAAAAGCAAAAGGTGCCAGGGCTACACAGAGAAACCCTGCCTCGAAAAACAAAACAAAACAAAAGCAAAAGCAATTTACTAATTCATGTTTACTTGCCCCAACCAGTGCCTTAATAATCAAACACCTTAGCCATTAATCTGATACCTGTCCGTCAGTGATGGAAATAACGTTCGTTGGAATGTAGGCGGACACATCACCAGCCTGGGTTTCTATGACCGGCAGGGCAGTCAAAGAGCCACCACCAAAAGAGTCATTCATCTTGGCTGCTCTCTCCAGCAGCCGAGAGTGCAGGTAGAACACATCTCCAGGGTAGGCTTCACGCCCAGGGGGTCGGCGCAGCAACAGAGACATCTGGCGGTAAGCCACAGCCTGCGGGACAGAAGGCGGCGGTGAGATCTAACTGCTGAACAGCTGCAACTGTTAATGTCCACTAAGGCAAACACACATGTTCTAAAGACATCCTCTGACCTGTTTGGATAAATCGTCGTAGATGATCAAAGCATGCTTGCCATTATCTCTGAAATACTCTCCCATGGAGCAGCCAGAGTAAGGAGCCAAATACTGAAGTGGGGCAGCATCAGAAGCAGTAGCTGACACCACAATGGTGTACTTCATGGCATCTGAGGAGAAAAAGGTTTCCATTTTACAAAGCTGTAAACTTTAAACCAGAGGCTATGGAACAAAACTGCCCAGCACCTGCACTCTGTTTAATTAATGGGTGGGGGAGGGAGTCCTAGGGGCAATGGTGCTTGCTATGCAAGGCTGAAACAATTCGATTGCAGACCCCACACAAAGGGGAAAGAAAGGAAAGAACTCGATCTGTACAGCCCACCTTTAACAGGCTCCAAGTCAGAGCACGCTATAATCCCAGGAGGTGAAGACAAAAGAGCAGAGTTCCACGTCCTCCTGGCTATAACAAGCCCAAAGCCACCCAGGGAAAGAGGAGCTACAGTACACTCCTCCTCATCCCCAGGGAAGTAACCCCAGCACAAGGCTCTAGTCCCTGCCTGACCCTGGGAGGCAGAAGCAAGGTGACTATTTAAGGTCAGTCAGAGCTGCATGAGACCCCATCTTAGAAAAACCCAATCAAGCCCAGCAATGGTGGTACACGCCTTTAATCCCGCACTTGGGAGGCAGAAGCAGAGGCAGGAGGGTCTCTGTGAGTTTGAGGCCAACCTGGTCTACACAGGGAGTTCTAGGACAGTCAGGCTTTGTATCAATGTTTTCCTACCCACCCCGAAAAATTAAAACATTAAAAACAAACAAAAACAAAAAAAATCCCCCCAAACTCACCAACCAAAACAGTAATCTAAAGTAATATACAAAGCAGCACTCGGGTTAAGTGGTGCCTCACAGCATTTCCTTGTTTCTGTTTGGATTTACATTAGACCCTCATTCAGTAAAATCAGCCTTGGGTACACAGAGACTCCAAGATTAGCAGATAGAACGGCCCTAAGACTCAAGGTCTTCAATACCTGCGTCTGTCAGTCTCTTCACCAACTGGGCGACAGTGGACCGTTTCTGACCAATAGCAACGTAGATACAGTACAGCTTCTTCTTTTCGTCAGTCCCATCATTGAAACGTTTCTGGTTGATGATTGTGTCGATAGCAATCGATGTTTTCCTTTCAAGAGAGTGGCATGACACTAAATATAAAACTTCCAGGCAAAATCCTGTGACCACTGCTAACCGCCAGTATCACCTGCCACTGCCCCATTACAGCCAAGGCATTTACCACCCAAAATAAACACGTAAATTATTTACTCAGGATCAATACCAGTTTGAACATTTAACAGGATTTGAGTCTTTACCCAGTCTGTCTGTCACCGATAATCAGCTCACGCTGACCACGACCAATGGGCACCAGACTGTCCACAGCCTTAATGCCAGTCTGCATTGGTTCCCGCACAGAGATTCGAGGAATGATTCCAGGGGCTTTCAGGCCCACTCGTCTCCGGGTCTTAGAACCAATTGGACCCTGTAAAAATATTAAAACGTTAAAATGAAGAAAAAGGACCCCTCAAAATCAGTTCTGATGTTTGCCACACCGGCCTCCAATCAACATTAACCCACCTTTCCATCAATGGCATTACCAAGGGCATCGACTACCCGGCCCAACAGCTCCTCGCCAACTGGAACGTCCACAATGGCTCCTGTTCTCTTCACAATATCACCTTCTTTAATTAGCTTATCATTTCCAAACACGACAACTCCAACATTGTCAGGTTCCAAGTTCAGGGACATACCCTGCACAAAGGGACAAGTGAATAATGAAGCCTGAGGGCCACCCCCAGCAGTAAGTAATCCCAACAGCAGCGGTTCCCCTCCCACCTGCTGTAGTCTAATCTTTCAACGAATGGTCTCTGGGCAGGACTTCATCTAACAGCTGGGTGGGAGAAGCTCCCGAAGGCTGTCCTGACCTCCACACTGCACACCAACCTCCACTAACAAATATCAGCAGAGCTCCGGACAGCTACACTCCGACTCAGATCCATTTAGCAATGGATCTACTCTTATGGGGAAGAATTCAGTTCAAGTAACCAAATGCTTTTGCATAAAACAACCTTAACAGCCACAAAGGAACTGACATGAACTCACTGAAATTTGTGTGAACCTTCACTAAAATTTTAATTTTGGTGCCAGTGGCCACAACTTATTTATCAACACTTAAACTAAAACATTTCTAGTTTATTCTCTTTATAACCTATAATAGGGGGTAAATGAGGCAAACTGAGACTTAAACATTTTTAATTTCTGACAAGCTCTTAATTACTACATGAGAAACCAAAGCCGAAGATCCTAAAATAACAACAAAACCCCCACTTTGTAACTTACCTTTAAGCCTGAAGAAAATTCTACCATTTCCTCTGCTTGAACATTCCTCAGCCCATGTACTCGGGCAATACCGTCACCGATGCTTAAGACACGCCCAGTCTCTTCGAGGTCAACAGATGTGTCAGCTCCAAGAATCCGCTCTTCAAGAATGGAGGACATCTCAGCGGTGCCTGAGAGAGAACAACGCGATTTAAATAACCTGGTCCAAACAGCTTCAAAATCCATTTCCCAACAACTGCTTCATGGTAACAAAAATCTTTCTAAAACATAATACAAATTCTATTTTAAAAGCAGGTATCTGGAGCTGGAGAGAAGATGATTCAGTGGCTAAAAGTATTTGCTGCTGTTCCCGAGGATCTGGGTTCAGTTCATCACCCACATGGCAACTCTCAACTGTATCTAACTCCAGTTCCAGGGAATCTGAAGGCCCCTGTGGGTACCAGATATGTACACACATGCATACACCCAGGTAAAACACTCATACATGTAAGTAAAAATACATAGATCTTTTTTTTTTTTATATAAAATTGGATATCCATCACTGTCAAAATTATTGAAAACTCCAAGTGACTGAAAGGAAAACCTTTTTCATAAATAAGGCAGACTACAATCTAGACAAAAAGCTGATAAAATTAAATATTCCCCTTCCTAATGTGTTATATTCTTTCCTCATTTTATTTCTAAAGAATCTGTATATATGTTAAAATCCAAATTTCTGGCTAAACTCTAATACTCTAAAATTAGGTACATTAAAAAAAAACAAAAAAGCAGTGGGAGCAGCAGAGTACTAGCTCCTTAGGAAAGTGCTGGCTGACAAACCCAAGAACCCAACCCTGACCCCCAAGACAGTAGAACAGACTCACAAAATGCTGTCCTCTGCTCTCAACAAATGCCTCGCGGCATGCAGTGCCCCCCAGCCGCCACAGCTAATGAAATGCAATAAATGGCAGCTAGCGAGACAGCTCACTGGGCAAAGGCACCAGCAAGCCTGGTGCACAGGGTTCCAGCCCCAGACCCACAAGGTAGGAAAGACTTGGCTCCTGAAAGCTGTCCTCTGACCTCCACACACACAGCATGGCTCACATACATGTGCTGTTCAATAAACAAATGCAAAAAAAAAAAAAAAAAAAACAAGAAGTTATGAAATTTCCCCTTTAAAGCACCTAAGCACTAGTGCTCATCTTACACTATATACATATATACACTAATGTATATATTTCACCTTTATTTTAAAATTACCAATATATGGCCAGGGATGTTGACCAGTAGTATTTGCCTACAAAGCTCTGGGTTCCATCCCTAGCACCTCCAAGACAAAAAGAGGAAAAGCCCTCTAGCACATCTCCAAAAAAACTCCCCAAGCAACTGTCTTTTTGTGTATCTTTGCCCGTCACTTCCCTAATGTACCTGCAGGTATAAAACAGAAGCAATTGTATTTGAAAAAGCCTATCAATTTGGGGGGGGGGGATGTTCATTTTCTTACACACCCCTCTCTCTCTCTCTCTCTCTCTCTCTCTCTCTCTCTCTCTCTCTCTCTCTCTCTCTCTCGGCAGGGTTTCTCTGTGAAATAGTCCTAGCTATCCTGGAACTCACTCTGTAAACCAGGCTGGCCTCGAACTCACAGAGATCTGCATGCCTCTGCCTCCTGAGTGCTGTGACTAAAGGCATGTATCACCACTGCCCGGCTTTCTTATACTTTTTACATGAGGTTAAAAAAACAAAAACTTTCACAGTTCAGAGAGGGTGCCTATTACATATGTATATTGTTTTCATCCAAAAGAAATTATCAGAAGTCATACAGCGTAACAGAGAAATATATAGTTTTATTAGACAAAGAAAATCTATCAAGACTAGGCATTTTATCAAGACATTTTAAATGGCACATTATGGTTTAAAAGTTTCTGTAGCATGTTTTAAAAGAGAAAAAATTTAATAAGGAAAAAAATCTCCACAATGTAGATTTAAAAAACTGACTTACCAGTCTTCTGAAGTAGAGTGTTAGAGGCATGAAGATTTCTTGCACCAATGAAGGATGACCCCAGAACATTTTTGAAGACCTAGTACAAAACATTCTTTAAGCAACTTGATTCTAGGAAAACCACCACACATAAGCTGTACTCATATACTTGTGCAGGAATGTATACACAAACACACACAGGCACACGCACGGCTTTCACAAGCTGGTTGTGATGGTGGTACATGCCTGTAATCCCAGCATTCATGAGGCACAGGCAGGAGGATCACATGGAGTTTGAAGCCTCACTGGTTTATACAGCAAGTTCCAGGCCAGCCAAAACTGGACAGCAAGACCTTGTCTCAAAAAACTACAAAACAAGCAGCAAAGACTCCATAAAACTGGCAAGTTTAAATAGGGGCTTTGGCTGATCAAATGGTAAATTTTGCCTAAAAGTCAAAGAATTACACGGGAAAGCCCAGTGTGATACGAGCATCTACTGTGCAAACTGCTGGTACACAAGACGACGGAAGGCTTATTTCCAAAAACAGATGTTAAGAAAATCCTTCCCTTAAAGGCATCTAGGTATTACTATTTTGCTGTTAGATTTCAATTGAGTTGTGGAAATCTCAGTAAGATAACCACTATCGAAATAGGGGGAAGCCTCAGTGTGCTTCCTACTTTTTTTCTTTAAAGGGCAAATAATGATTGGGTGAGCGAACCAATGCTGCAGGTAGATTAGAAAATGAGATAACTGTTTCACTGTCTTGAACAAATCCAGCAGCAATGTGGAACCTGGACCCCTGCATGTTTCCTTCTACCTGCAATACCGTGATTGGCCACGGTGAACTCGGAGTCGGCTAGCCTGTAATAGGAACCAACACAAATCTTTTCTTAAAATGCCTCTTTTTTCTGCTAAGAGAAACTAAGATGCTACCAGTGTTTTCTTAGGGAAGCAGGATAGCTACTCTATTTATTTCGTCTTTGGGATTCGTACTGCTTTTATAATGAAAAGGTAAATGTATTATATAGGACTTAAAGGTCATACATTTTTTAAGAGATATTCTCAATATCATAGACCATTCTCAGTGATGGGCACTGACTTAACATTTCCCAACCCTTTGTTCTATTTTACAACTCTTTAAACATGAGGTGGGCAACTCAAGGACAAAAATCTTTTAACGTGTCAAAAAAAAAAAAAAAAACCCAAAAAACAAAACCCCCCACTAAGTCTTCTACCTAATTCTAGCCCATTTACAAAAATCCCATCGTCGTTGACAGGGCAAACCACATCAACTGCTTCTGTACCTAGCGATTTTTTTCACGATCCTTTCCGTTTTCAGCAGCAAGTGACAACCACCCAACTACCCAAAAAAAATCACTTTCATTTATTCCTTTCCCTTGAATTGACCTCTGAGCAGAGGCGAAAGGATCGGGCCCGTTGACCTTCAGACAATGTCAGGCTCTCCCCGTTCACCCGCACAAAGCTGCTGACAGCTCCGTTGACCTTCAACGGAGCCAGACCCCAGGAACAAGCCTCGGCAGGCCAGACAAGCCGCGCACAAACCCCGACCTTCACCCTGGGCCGGCCCTCACCCCGAGACCGGGATCCTCCTACAACCCCTGTGCCCGGAAACGCCAGGGTCACGGATCCCCCGCACCACCGTGCACCCAAGGCCTTGCAAAGGCGACCGTCCGCGCCGCCCAGCAGCCACGGTGCAAGATGGCGCCGTCCGCCCCAGCCCCGCATTGCACTGCACAGCCCCGCGGCGCTCCGCAGAGGCCTGCAGCCGCGCCCACGCCCGCCTGCCTGCCCAGGCCTCGGCGCTCACCAGTCCCGCCCGGCGGGGGAGGGCACGGGCCACGGCCGCGGCGACGCGCACGGTCAGCATCCTCGCAGCTTCTCGGGGAGATCCTCCGCGGCCGCAGGCTCCGGACGACTGGCACAAAATGGCCGAGCGCGAAGGAAGGTCAAGGCAGCCAGCCCACCTGACCCGGAAGTACCGCCCCTCTCCTTCACCTCCGGACGTAAATCTTTTTTTTTCTTTTTTTTCTTTTTTTTCTTTTTCTATTAATATAGTTTGTTTTAACATTTGAAACTAAAGATGAATGGATCACTTGTTTCCAGCCTCCCTGGCATTCATCATACCTTTTTTTTTTTTTTTTTTGGTCTTTTGAATCGACCTTGTGGTTGCCCCGGGCGACCACGTGAGCAAGGAAGCTTCCCTAAAGTGGGTGTCATCCTACCCGGGGCTGCGCAGACTGCGAGCAGGATTCCCGGTACTGAGTGTAGCTCCTGCACCCCACCCAGAGGGTTTAGTCCTCAGGTCCTTGGCCTCGCCCCAGACTTGGAAATAATCTGACGTTATTTTAAGTGTTCATTCTTACTAGTGTGTGGTGTGTATGTTCACGTGCCAAGGCGTGCAGGGGAAGCCCAAAGGGCAGTCCTCTCCTTCCACCTGATGTGGATCCTGAGACTCAAACTCAGGCTTGGAGTGCAAGCACTTTACCACTGGGCCATCATGCTGGCCCCCGGTCTGGGTTTATAATAAATACCCAAATACTTTTTAATTAAATTAAAAACTCATAAAAATTTTATATATTTATTCATATATAAATTTATTTAAAAATTAGTATTAGTATTTAAAAATTTATAAAATATATTTATATAGTATTTATATATTTATTCATATATAATATATATATTTTATATATAATATAAAATACTAGTATATGAATGCTTTGTTTGCATGTATGTCTGTGCACATGTGTCTGGTGACCTCACAGTCCAGAAGAGCCTGTAAAATACCTCAGAACTGGAAATACAGATGGCTGTTAACCACCATGTGCGTGCTGGGAATCAGACCTGGGTCCTCCAGAAGAACAGCTAGTGCTATGTTTCTCTGGCCCAAATACCCAAATCTTATAGGGGGATCTGATAGCACAAATGAAAGAACTGACGTTCTTTAAGGTTCCATCTAAAATAATCTTTTCAGGGAATCTGGGCCTGAAGACTCAGTCCTCTAATTCCAGCTACCTTGTTGGGGAAGTTAAAGGATAAAGATTAACAAATGCAAGGCTAGCCTGGGCACAGCAAGACCTTGTCAATCAGTCAATCAATCAGTCAAGGGGCTAAGAACAAATCTCAAAAGTAGCTGCTTAGGGTGTAGAAGGCTTTGGGTTCAATGCCCAGTTGGGGAGGGGAGTGGGAAGAATCCCGTCTAAATTAGATAGGCTCAAAACTTCTAATAATCACAAGGAGTTTGAGTAGAGTGGTTGATAGTCCTACTGAAAATGGTCCAAAATCAAAACACACCATTCTAGATTCAAATACGTCTCAAGTTTTCTTCTGCCAACAACTACTTTTGTAACCCTGGAGATTCTATTATACTTTCTCTTTTGGAATAAAAAGGATATAAATTATTCTTTCTCTCATTCTTCTCTCTCTCTCTCTCTCTCTCTCTCTCTCTCTCTCTCTCTCTCTCACACACACACACACACACACACACACACACACACACACACCCTACACCTACTCTATGAAATTGGAGAGCAGCATATTTTACTCACAGGGTTTTTAAAAATTTATTTTAATTATTGTTGTTCTTTTGGTTTTGTTTGTTTTGAGACAGGGTCTCTCTATGTAGACCTGCCTGTCCTGGAACTCACTATGTAAAACAGGCTATCCTTGAACTCACAGAGATTCATCCACCTGACTCTGCCTCCCAAATGCTAGGAATAAAGGCATGTGCCACCGCATTTATCTTAAGATTTTACTTTTTTATTTTATGTATATTTGTATGTGAGAGTGTAAGTATGTATATTACATGCTTGCAAGTGCCTTCAGAGGCCAGAAGAGGCATCAAATCCCCTGGAACTAGATTTACACCTAGTATGGGCTGCTTTGGAATAATCCTCTTATACACTGTAAAGATTTGTCACTGGAATTGGTTTAATAAAATGCTGATTGGCCAGTAGCCAGGCAGGAAATGTAGGTAGGGCAACCAAATTAAGAATGATGGGAAGAAGGATGGAGTCTGAAGAATCACCAGCCAGACACAGAGGAACAGAAGATGAATATGCCATGCTAATAACGGTATTGCCACATGGCAGAGTATAAATAAAAATATAGGTTAATTTAAGTATAATAGTTAGCTAGTAACAAGCCTGAGCTATTGGCCGAGGATTTATAATTCATATAAGCATCTGTGATTTTATTTGGGACTGGGAGGTCAGGACAGAAAACATCTGTTTTACAATGGGTGCTGAGAACTGAACTGAGGTCCTCTGTAAAAGCAGCAAGTGCTCTGAACTAATGAGCCATCTTCCAGTCCTTCCCCCACAGAATTTTACAATGCTGAGTTTTGTTTTTTTTTGTTTGTTTGTTTTGTTTTTTTTTTTTTGGTTTGTTTTTTGTTTTTTGTATGTGATATGCCTAGAATTTTCTTTGTGGAGCTGGGTACTATATGATAGTGGAGACTTAGCATTGGCTTCACTTGTAACTGTTTGAAGCGGCATCTTTTAGCTTACTATACGCAAAGTTGGCCTACATTGAAAGCTTTAGTGTGGCTAATACTATGAATAACTGGGTTAAAAATGCCATCTCCTGAAACATGGCTTGCCAATGCATGGTCAGTAATCCTTTCTCTAACTACTGCATTGTCAAAAGGAGCCAGAGATAAATATGCAAGCTTTTCCAGGGAACAAAGGGTGAGTATGAACACACTTAAGGTGGCCAGGAGATTAGTTACAAAAATAATAAAATTGCAAGGGATGTTTAGAAAAATTTGTAGTGATGTAGTGAGCTAGATAAGAAGGGCCCTCCCTCTGAACAAATGTTATGCACTCTAAAATCACTGTTAAAATCTCTATTAGTGGCTGGCAGGTGATCCAGCAGGTAAAGGTACCTACTGCCAATCCTAACAACCTGAGTTCAATCTCTGAGACCCATATAGTAGAAGGAAAGCTAACTCCCTCAAGTTGCCCCATGATTTCCACACATGCTACACACACACACACACACACACACACACACACACACACACACACACACCAAATAAATGCAATAAGAATTAAAATCACTATTAGTGTTAATGATTTGTTTCTTTCTTTCCTTTTCTTTTTCTTTCTTTTTTTTTTTTTTTTTTTTTTGAGATAAGGTCTCACCCTGTAGCCTGGAACTCATGACAATCCTCCAGCTCCAGCCTTCTGAACACTGAGATTATAGATATGAGCCACCATGTTGTGTGATATTTTGTTTCTGTTCTGACAAATAAAGCTTGCTTGGAGTCAGAGGGCAGAGTTAGCCACTAGTTAACCAGAGAGGAGACAGGAAGTGATAAGGCAGAGTGGAGAGAGGATCTAGGCCTTTTTGGATGGAGGAACAGAAGAAGTAGGAAGCAACTGGTAGCTCCTCCTGGTTCACTGATCTTTGGGGTTCTTACCCCAATAATTTGACTTCCAATTTTTTATTGATAAAATTAATTAGAATAACGCTTCCTCTGGCGCCCAACATGGGGCTTGAGCTATGACCCTGAGATTAAGAGTCTCATGCTCTGCTAACTGAGCTAGCCGTGCCTCTTAAAAGAGTGGCTTGGTTTTCGCCTGAGCAAGATTGAATCAGGAAGCCATCTCTTAAGGGAGCCACACCCATTTGCTGCAAGCAAACAGAGCCTACCCAAGAAAAAGCAGTTACCAAGAAGTCAAGTTTGACTCCATTTTTTTGTGTTTAGAATCTTTTTTTAAAGCTTTTTCAGGCTTTATGTGGAAATTCTTGCCTAATGTTTGGGTGTCATATGTAATCAGATGTTTCCTGTCCTGACTACCTGTTCCCAAATATTGAGCAGCTGCTTCCCAAATTACCACACAGAGGCTTACATTAATTATAAATTATAAAAATTATAAATAATGACCAGCCGATAGCTCAGCCTTATTACTAACTAGCTCTTACATTTAAATTAACCCATATTTCTTATCTATGTCTAGTCACCTGGCTTGGTACCTTTTCTCAGTACAGCATTCTCATCTTCTGTGTTTGCCAGCAACTCTCTGACTTCACCCTTCCTTTTCCCAGAATTCTTCTAGTCTGGCTCTTGCACTCAATCTCCTCCTGCCTAGCTATTGGTCAGTCAGCTTCTTATTAGCAAATGAGAGTAATGCATATTTATGGTGTAGAAAAGGATTATTCCACAGCACCACCACATCTGGCTAATGAGACATTTTTAAAGTTCTTATTATAAGCACCCTTTCTGACTATACATTTTCCTCTAAATAAACAATGATGTTGAAAAAACGGAGCAATTGACTCCCTAACTGCCAGCTAACTCCATAAGTCCCTAACTGTTCGTCTCTTTCAGGCTGCACTGGCTGCTTTGAACAAAAGGAATGTCAATCAAAAAACAGCTATCCAGGGGCTGGAGAGATGGCTCAGAGGTTAAGAGCACTGACTGCTCTTCCAGAGGTCCTGAGTTCAATTCCCAGCAACCACATGGTGGCTCACAACCACTTATAATGAGATCTGTTGCCATCTTCTGGCCTGCAGGGACACATGCAAGCAGAATACTGTATACATAATAAATAAATAAATCTTTTAAAAAAAAAAGGATTAGAGGATGTTAATGATGGAATGGCCTTTAAAAAACAAACAAACAAACAAACAAACAAACAAATAACCCAGCTATTCAGACTACCTAATGCCAGCACCAGCAGTCTTGGAAAAAAAATCCCCATACTTGGGAGTTGGAAGTAAGAGATCAGAAGTAGAAAGTGGTCCTTGACTACAGAGTGAAATACAGAAGACATATACATAGACGAAATATCAGGAGTTCAGAGTCATTCTCTGATAGATGGCATCTTTTCGGCCAGCTTGAGCTACACGAGAAAGCCCCAAATCAAATATAAATAGCTAAAAAGGCTATGGAGCTGGCCCCATAGGTAAAGGTGATTGCTTTCAAGACTTGATCCCAAGTGTGATCTTCAAGTTGGATCCCAGGGACCCACATGTTGGAAGGAGAGAATCTGTAGGCAGAGTTTCCCTGTGTCCCAGCAATCCCTCCCAAATAACCACACAGAGACTTCTTATTAGTTATAAATGCTCAGCTCATAGCTTAGGCCTGTCTCCAGCCAGCTCTTACAACTCAAATCAACCCATTTCTATTCATCTATGTGCTGTCCCGAGGCCCGTTTACCTCATCTATGTACCTTTCATGCTGTTTCTGCCTCATCTGGTTGGTGACTCCTCTGACTCTGCTCTTCTCCCCAGTAATCTTTCTGTCCCCCAAATTCCTGCCTGGCCATCGGCCAATCAGCTTTTTATTAACAATGAGAGCAACACAACTTCACAGTGTACAGAAGGATCTATTTATTCCTGAAAGTTGTGTTTTGACCCCCCCTCACTTGTGCCCCCCAAACAAATTTTGAAATGTAATAAAAATTTAAATAAATCAATCTTAAGGACATTTAGATCCTTGATAGCAGAAACTGATGTTAAGATTACTGCAGCTCCTATGCCAGAGTATAGTAAAAAGTTAATTTTGTTTTGATATTTTGAGACAGGGTTTTGTGGTGGTTTGGAAGAAAATGGCCCCCAAAGGGAGTGGCACTATTAGGAGGTGTGGCCTTGTTGGAGGAAGTGTGTCACTGTAGGGGTGGACTTTGAGGTCTCTTTTGCTCAAGCTTCCTTCAGTGTGACTGTCAGTTGACTTCCTGTGGCCTTCAAGAGGTAGCACTCTCAGGTCCAGCACCACATCTGCCTGCACATCACCATGCTCCCCATCATGATGATGGACTGAACCTCTGAAACTGTAAGCAAGCCACCCCAGTTAAATGTTTTCTTTATAATATTTGTGGTGGTCATGGTGTCTCTTCACAGCAAAAAAACCCTAACTAAGACAGGTTTCATATAACTGGGTTTGGCCATGAACTTTCTATGTAGTTGACGATGGCTTTAAACTTCTGATCACCCCCTCCCTTCCCAAATGCTAGAATTACAAGTGTGTACTACCACATACAGTGTATGATCTGCTGGGGATCCAACCCAGCCCTTCCTGCACTTCAGGCAAGCACTCTATTAACTCCCAGTTATGGACCTCAACCCCTGAGAGCCTTTGGAGTGTTTGTTTGTTTGAGATAGTCTCACACTATAGCTCAGGCTGACATGGAACTTACAATATCACTATGGAATGGAGGCTGGCCTTGAACTATTGGCAATCCTTCTGCCTCAGCTTTCCTAGTGCTGGGATTACAGGAATGTGCCACCGTGTCCAAAAAATTATTTATTAGGTTTATGCAATCAGCAACAGTATCTCTTGACTAAAAAACTGGAAGTGACAGGTTTTTTTTTTTTTTTTTTTTTTGGTTTTTCGAGACAGGGTTTCTTTGTGTAGCTTTGCGCCTTTCCTAGAACTCGCTTTGGAGACCAGGCTGGCCTCGAACTCACAGAGATCCACCTGGCTCTGCCTCCCAAGTGCTGGGATTAAAGGCGTGCGCCACCACCACCCGGCTGTGACAGGTATTTTTAATGACAAGTTGATTCAAGTGAATAAATATAAGAAAAAAAACTTGTTTCTAGCAGCTCTTCTCATTTTTACGATTATAACACAGCAGGCTCGGATGCTGCAAAGCCTGCTGAAGCCTTTGGTTAGCCTAGTTCCGGGGTTCCTGGGCCTTGGACTCAATAAAAACCACAACTCCCAGAATTCCCGGGGTCGAGGGGGCGGACCCAACGGTGAGGGGGTGGAGCCTGGGGGCGTTCCCCGCGAGGTTTTGAGAGTGAGGTGGCAGGAGCGGTGGCCATGGCGGCGCCGGAGGAGAGAGACTCGCAGGTGACATCCGGAGCTGGGTCGGGAACCTGCTAACCCTTCTGGGGCCGCTCATCGGCCGGGGCTCCATGCTGGCCGCCACCGCTGGTTTTGTCCCGACCCCCACGGTGCCGTCGCGACCCCGGAGGCCCCTTGTGGGCCCGGAGGCCCCGGAGGCCCCGGAGGAGGCCGTGCCCTCCCTTTCTCGGCGACCCACCCAGCCGCTGTTTGGAGCCCCTGGCTGCAGGCTGGAGTGGGATTCCGAACACCAACCCGCCCGGTGCAGCCCAACCTCTGCTGCTTCAGTCTAGAACTTAAACACCTGAGCCGCAGCCCCACTCCGGGAGCCGCCTGGCACTGCGGGGGTTGAGGGTGTGTTGGGGGCCACCGGCTTTTCAGACCGTGCACGGGTCATCCGTCATGCGTTCATATTCGCTTATTAACACCTTCCCGGGGAGGCAACGCGGGGTTTTGTTTTTGTTTGTTTTGTTTTTGCCGGTGCTGCGTTTGCAGCGTTGGGAAAGAGTGATTGATGTTCTTTGGTAATTCCGACTTTTCACTTGCCCGCTCGCTTGTTGACAAGTCAGGATGTGAAGTAGGACCCCAGGAGAGTCACAGGAAACGTTTAGTTTGCAAGCAGAGCACTTTCTTGTCAGATTCCGTCGTGGCATTATAACAAGGCTTACCTTTTAATGGTTAGGTTGCTGCGTGGTTGAAAAAAATATTTGGAGACCATCCCATTCCACAGTATGAGGTGAACCCACGGACGACAGAAATTTTATATCACCTTTCGGAACGCAACAGGGTCCGGGACAGGGACATCTCCCTGGTAATAGAGGACTTAAAACAGAAAGCAAGTGAATATGAATCAGAAGGTGAGTTAAGTCTAGAATTTCGAAAGAGGTAACTAAATTTTACAACACTAAAGTGCCCAAGATTAGGATAGACTAGTAGAATTGATTATTATCATTAGATTAAAGGCGTGCGCCACTACCACTACTTAAAAAATTATCATTTTTTTAAGACAAATTGGCTTCTGTTCTATTATAGTAACTTCCAAATTAGAAATTTCACTATAGTATGTTTTATTGATACTCTGCTATTAAAACGGTGAATCCTAAAAGAGAATTAAATTTGCTGGGGTGAGGGATTGGTGGAGGAATGCCTTTAATCCCATTATTTTCGAGTCAGAGGCAGGAGGATATCTGTGAGTTCAAGGTCAGCCTGGGCTTCATAGTGAGATCCTGTCTCAAAAAAAAAAAAAAAAAAAAAGCTTATTAGCCTAACAAGAAAGACATTTGTAGTTTTTTCCCTTTTCCCTTTACATAGTTTGCAGGACACCACCAGAGGTAGCAGCCATGAAGTGTGAGACTTGGACAAATACCATGGGCTGTGTATTAGGGAACTGCTTAAAAGTTCCTACTATAAGCCAGGCATGATGGTGTAAGCTTGTGATCCCAGCGTTCAGAAGGCAGAGGCAGGAGAACTGTGATGAATGCAATGTCAACTTGGATCATATAGCAAGACTGTCTCAAGTATTTTCCCCCTCTCTTTTTTTATTGTTTTTTTGTGCCTTTTCCTGGAACTCACTTGGTAGCCCAGGCTGGCCTCGAACTCACAGAGATCCGCCTGGCGCTGCCTCCTGAGTGCTGGGACTAAAGGCGTGCGCCACCCCCCTCCCTCTTTTTTGTTGGTCATATATATATATATATATATATATATCTCCAACAAAATAAGGGAATGACTAATATCTTTCTGGGATATTCCTTCTTTGGAACTCCTCCCACTCTGGGGTTCTTTCTTAATTTTCTTAATACATTTATGGATATGGTGGCATGCATCTTTAGTCCTAGAACTCAGGAGTCAGGAGCAGGCAGATCTCTGAATTCAAGGCCATCATGGTCTACATGGTGAATTCCAGGTCTATGTGAGACCCTGTTTTTGTTTTTGTTTTTTTTTAATTCTCTTTACTGCTTTTGAGGGATGGGTACATGAGCATGTGGAAGTCAGAGGGCAACTCACAGGAGTCAGTTCTGTGTCCTACTGTGTGGGTCCTGGGATTGAACAAGTTGGTTCCCAACACCCTCACTGGGTGCTCCACAACTGCAATGTCTCTGGCCTCCATGGCACCTGTGCCCAAAGTGCACACACACACACACACACACACACACACACACACACAATTACAAATATAATAATTATATATATATATATTTTGAGGTAGGCTTTCTTTGTGTAGCCCTGGCTGTCTTGGAACTCTCTGTGTAGACCAGGTTAGCCTCAAAATCAGAGGTTCTCTGTTTTGGTTTTGGTTAATTCTGGGTGCCCCTGCCTCTGGAGTGCTGGGATTAAAGGCTTCCACCACCATGCCTGGCTCAGAATAAATCTTAAACAAACAAACAAAACTACAATAAAAGTTTAAAGAACAAAAAGGACAAAACATCTGAGACAACCATGAATGCTTTTATCATTTCAGCCAAGCATCTTCAAGACTTTCTCATGGAGAGTGTGAATTTTTCCCCGGCCAATCTGTCTAACACTGGTTCCAGGTTTCTGAATGCATTGGTTGACAGTGCAGTAGCCCTGGAAACAAAGGATACTTCACTAGCAAGGTAATTATTGTAATGGTTTTCGTCTATGTTTCCATAGCAGAATGTGCTGTAAGGCCTTGATCTAAGGATTTTTTTGGTTCTCACAGTAATTCTGCAAAGAAAATTAGTAATAAATGCAAAAGTGCTGAGGTGGTTGTTTTGTTTATTTGGTAGGTTGGTTGATTGGTTTGGGTGGGGTTTTTTTTTGTTGTTGTTGGTGTGTGTGTGTGTGTGTGTGTGTGTGTGTGTGTGTCTGTCTGTCTGTCTGTCTGTCTGTCTGTGTATGTCTGTGTGTGTGCTGAGTTCTAGTTAGCTCAGCAGTACCATGGGTGGGTGACCCTGGGCTGTTTAAGGAGGCTAGCTGAGTAGAAGCCGGAGAGATGGAGCCAGTAAGCAGTGTTCCTCCACTGTTTTTGCTTGAGTTCCTGCCCTGAGACTTCCCTAAGTGTTGTATTGTATCTGTGAGCTAAAATAAACCCTTTTTCTATGTTGCTTTTGGTCCTGATCTTTATCACAACACCAGAAAGCAAATTAGAATGGCTGGAAACTGGGTATGTGGGTATATTATACCTATAATAAGTCCAGCACCCAGGAGGTGGAGGCAGGAAGATCAGAAAGTCAAGGTCATCCTCGGCTACTGAGGGAGTTTGAGGCCAGTGTGTACTATGTGAGGATCCTCCCACCACCAAACAAACAGGAACAGTAGTAGGTTAAATGATCTGGTTGAGCATGGCAAATTTTGGTCATATACAACATTGAATAAGTTAAGAACCCTTTTTTTCTTTTCTTTTTCTTTTCTTTTCTTTTTTTCTTTTTCTTTCTTTCTTTTTTTTTTTTTTTGGAGACACAATTTCACTGTGTATCCTTGGCTGTCCTGGAACTTACTCTGTAGACCAGGCTGGCCTCGAACTTGTAGAGATCTGCTTGCCCCTGTCTCCTGAGTGCTGGGATTAAAGGCATGCACCATCACCACCTTGCTAAGGACCGTCATTGTTTGAAATAGACATTTCACCTATATAATGATGTAATTTTCCCACGGATCCTCAGAGGAAACTGAAGAATGAGATTCTCAGCAAATCTGACTCCAAAGGCCATATGACTGCTGTTGGTGGTCATTGTTAGCTAGGACTACTACTGCAATTTACTGTGATCAGAAAAGTACACATAAGTGTGTTGTGCATAACTGCCAGTGTAAAGGTTTGGGATTTATATAATTCTTGAAGAGTAGTGTTGTAAGTGTAAGAACATGTAGACTACGTGGCACAGTGGTGTAGACCAAATCAGTTCTTCTGATACCAAGTACATTTGCATAGTGTAATACTAGGAAAGCAGAGATGAGTAGGGAGATAGGCATCACCTCAAAGACAGTTTCTTGGTCAAATGAGAGGGAAGGACAATGGAGAGAGTCTACCACCATGTAGCAGCTGCACTCTACGACTAAAGATGCTCTCCCTGGCAAGCACAGACAAAAGGTAATGAATTCAGGATGTGTAAATCTTCCCTGAGGTTTTTTTCTTTTCTGAGGGGGTTTTGTTTGTTTGTGTTGTTTTTATTTTTGTTAAAACACGGTCTCATTATGTATCCCTGGTTAGCCTGGAACTCACTGTAGCCCAGGGTGTCCTTGAACTCAGAGATCTGCCCGCCTCTGCCTCCCAGTCCTGGGAACACAGGTGTGCACCACTGCACTCAGCCTACCTGAGTTTGGTAGGGAAAACAGGAGTTTGGCCTGCTGAAGGGCATTTCAGGCAACAACAGCCGCATGTGGCAATTGTGTAAGTGGACGGAACAGTGTGGTTACATAAAGTCTACAGAGAAGACCATTTTTAGGCAGTGCTTCTCCTCAGCTTGTCCGTGTAACCAAGATTCTCTTTCAGTTTTATTCCTGCAGTGAATGATTTGACTTCTGACCTTTTTCGTACCAAGTCCAAAAGTGAAGAAATCAAGCTTGAATTGGGAAAACTTGGAAAAAATCTGACTGCAACATTAGTGTTAGAAAAATGTCTACGAGAGTGAGTTGCAATGTTGACATTTTGAATTATAAAGACATTAGTAGGATCTTGTCAAGCCGGGCATGATGGCACAGGGCTGTAATCCCAGCTTCTGGAAGGCTGAGGCAGGAGCTCTAAGTCCAAGGCTGCCTGAGCAGCTCAGGAGGTGCTTAGCTGCAGATTCCACATTTTACTTTATACAGTTTATTACCCATATATTTATTTTTGCTTTGTTAAAAATATGTAGTTTTATAAGTTTCAAATGTTTAAACTCACAAACTACCTCATAATTTCAAGTCACATATTTTGGTATGCTTTTTTTCTGTCACTCTAATGTCCCTTTTTTGATGCTGTGAGCCTTTAGATTCTTTTTTTTTTTTTTTTTTT